TCCATCATTTTTTTTCTTCTTTGCTTCGTACGGAAGCTTACCATAGCTTCGGCACCAGCATCTTCTACTAAAAAGAAGACTGTTTTAAATCCAACGAAATCGACCAATTAAATCGACCAGTTGAGATTGGGTTGGTGCAAGATGACACGACATAGAAGTCGATTTCCATGATGGGAAATTGACTAGGTTGGTTTTTGACATCGAGATTGGTCAAAAACCGACACTGARCAATCGATGCTCACCCCTACTTGTTCACGAGTCTAGTGTGGCTTAATGTATTTTAGTGCATGTTTGGTTTTTTTTTTATTAGTATTAATGTCTTTAATTTTAACAAGTAGGATTTTTTTTTCTATAAAATTCTTAGCACCACCAAATGTAAAAGAAACTCTTATTTATTGGATTTAAACTTTTATGTTTTAAATGGACGGGAGACGTGATATGTTGGTAAATATACAAAAAATACCCTTAATTATCAAGCTAGAGCAATCGAATATGATCTAGCTAGTTTTCTCATTCCAGATCACAGTTTAATCAATAATAAAGAAAATAAGGGATAGAAATGCAAACACCAGAAAAATATACTGGTCTTTTGCAATATGCACGTTCTACCATAATGAGAAGATTATAATGGATCTCACTTCGCTCTACAACGCTTTCTTGATGCTATAACAATAGCCAACTAGCTTTTAGTACTACACAATAGTTACTTATGAATACAGAATGAAAAACCTCACAATAATCATGAGAACGGACTACCAACAACACTCTACAACACTCTACCGGCCACTTAACTTGTCTTTCTCTTCTCTACCAAAAATTGTCACGTTTCTTCTCCTTTCTATCAAAATGCCACCACCTTCTGCGTGTGTGTTATTTTTTAATCTCTATTTCTTCTCTCAGTGAAGAAAATCGAATGAAAAAAGGGAACTCACAAGGTGGTGCTTGTTGAGCAAGGAAGAAAGAAAATAAAAAACTATTATTTTCTTTGGGAAAAAACTATTATTTTCTTTGGGCTTCAATTGTTATCTTTGGCTCAATAAATTTCCCTCATTTTTATTATTTTGTCTTCATTATCAACAATCCAAAACGACAATCTCGCCTCCCACTGCAACAACAATGTCGATCTTCTTGCCAAACCACCAAGATTCTACCCTCAATGCAACAACAGCATTTGATCATCTTGGCAAACAACCAAGGTTCCATCTGTGCTTGTCATGAGACTGGGCAGCCTACGTGGTATTGTCTCCTAGACGTAAAAGACACAACCACGTACTCCCACTCAAACTAAGTGGTAACTCCCGACGCTTCCTTCTTCAATCGCGACCAACGACTGTCAAAAAAAGAATTCTTCTTCAATGACCTGACACTCCCACTCAAGTCTGTTACCAGGCTAGAGATTCAACTTTGACCTCAACACCAATTGCAATCTTCCTTTTTGATGTATTCTTTCACCTGTGCAACTTCACTAGTTCGCTGAACCGTCTGACAATTGGGGCTATCACCTGACAACCAACTGAACTCTTTTTCTTTTTCTTATCTTGACCTCCCAATGGATTTATCCTTGTTTTCAATGATTTTGGTTCAATCCTGTCTCCATCTAAACTATTTGCAGCCTTATGCATCATCTGTCTCTTTAATCATTTGGCAACATCAAATCTCGCTATGTACACTATAGATGTCATGTGGCCAACAACCACCTCCTCGGATCCTCTAGTGAGTTTCTACAGGTTTCCACCAAAGTCACTTCCATAACCATCATCATCCAGCTTACTTGTAGATATCATATTCATTTTAATGCTAGGTACATACCTGACACCATGCAGAACCAACTCAGTTCCACTATCGGTCTTTTGATTGATATCTCCAAATCCCCTAGTCTTGGAGTGTACAATTTCCCATCCTCACCGTGCTCTAGTTGCCTACAGTGAAAGATGTGAACAATCTCTTGTCTGAAGAGATGTGTATTGGTGTTGTGTTCCTGTCAACAAATAAAAGCATCATGCACAACTATATTTGTATTTGCATCCAGCTTTTTTAGTTCTTCCTTCAATCTTCTACAGTTCCTCTTATATTGGGCCTTCCTGTGGCAGTAATAACATTTGATCTCTCCATTTCCATTCCTTCTGCTATTTCTATGTTGTCTATCATCATACTCAAATTTTTTCTTTACCTTTCAGCTAAACCACCAATGCTAAGCTAGAACCATAATCAGAAGTGGATTCTTTTACACTCTCTCCTGTGAATTTCCTCAACAACTGCAGCATCACAAATTTATGTAAATTTCAAACTCTTATCTCTTTACGAATTAGACACAACCGTCTTCATTGTTTCCCAACTTTCAAGCAAAGAATTCAACAACAATAAAATAGCATTCACCTCATCACTAAATGTAATCTTTAGAGAAGCTAACTGATTGATTAAATTAGTTACTTCATTTATATGGGAATTCACAGAAGCATTCTCATTCGTACGAATGTTAACAAGATATACCTTATTATTGGTAGAGAGTTTTTTCTAGCTATTCGTCAGTGCATTCATTAGACCTAGCGTCGTTATCTCATTCGCCATAAGACTCGCCACATTTAATTCAATCTAAGAATCTATGGGTCCTTCGTTGTTCCTCCTTCTATGAGACATAATTGTATCCCACCAAGTTAGTGCATAATCTTTAAAGTGAGAGATTGCGAGAATTACCTTCTTGCCATCATCATAGTTATGACATGCGAACACTAACTCAATCTCCTTCTCTCATGATTCAAACTTCTCGGGTGTAGATTTCCATGGAAGGTTGGGATTTTCAACTTGATGCTCCCTAGGTAGTTCTCCTTTCTTGGCCTCTCTCGGATAGGTTGAAATCTTCCTCTTCCTTGGCCAATGTATGCTCTTCTTAGAGGACTTACATTAAAAGAATCTTCATCAACATGAAACTCATCAAGTCATTACCTCTTCTTTTTGGGAGTCTTCAGATGCCTCTCTTGGACTCATGGATCTCCTTCGGTGTGGCACTCTTTGTGGCCTCTCCAATCCTTGAAAACGTGTGTTCATCATTTGTAAGGATTCGGTAAGATCTTCCAGTCATTGTGTGAATCCCGCAAATGCTTGGATTTGAGCTCCTCTAAGTCTTTCATTGCTCACGTTGGCTTTGTCTCTTTTTTCTTGAGAGTCTTGAGACTTTCCTCTTGTTGTCATCACTACACAACAAAAGGTTAGAAGTAATAAAGAAAATTCTCACTCACTCCCTTACTGATCTCTCGGCTTCTCTCTTCTTTGGTAGGGTTGGTGTCGATGTGGATACCCTCTTGGAGATGCTCACTTGGTTGCTCATGGCGAATCAGCACTTGAACAAGCAAACACAAGCCTATAAGTAACTAATGCAAAAATACTTTCTTCTTTTTATTTTTTGAATGGAGGTCAATGATATAGATGATACCAAAGATAAGAACAAATGATATGAAAGGATACCAAAGGATACTACAAAGAAATAATGAGACAACTAAATGATATAAACAAGAAAGACAAGATGCAAACCTTGAGTCTAATGCTCTTCGCAACTAAATACTTTACAACAATGTACAACTTGAAGTAAAAGCACAATAAAAAAAGAACTATGCAATAAAAGATCGATGAAAACAAAAGTTTACTCTAAAAGATGTACAAAATCCAATTCGTAGTGCAAACACACACAAAAATTTTCTTACCAACAAAACAATGAACTTTACGGCAAGAGGGGTGACTTTGGGTGAGGGGTGCGTGTTGTATATGGCTCAGATGGGGCTCAAACCAATGATAAATTAAAGTACAACAAGTGTACTTGACGTGTGTGGACTGCCAAAAGGTTTTGAAGTTGTTTGGAAGGGCTGCTCTCTCAAAAGAAAAATCTAGGGCTGCACTAAGGCCTCTTTCGGGTAAACCTGTAGACTTGGCGGTTGTCCTTCTTCTTTAGGACTGTCCAAAGTTGACAAAATAATTCAAAAGTATTTTTAAAGCACAGAATAAACAATACTAGGATTAGTTACCAAAAATAAATTGATTTGGACCGGATTTG